AGTTCATTAACCAACAAGAATTTTTGGTTAGGAATGTGGCTGGGTGGTAGAGTGCTTGCCTAACATGCATGAAGCCCTGGTTCAATTCCTCAGTACCACATACACAGAAAAAGCCGGAAGTGGTGCTGTGGTTCAAGTGGTAGAGTATTAGCCTTGAGAAAAGAAGTTCAGGGCCAGTGCCCAGGCCCTGAGTTCAAGCCCCAGGACTGGAAACAAAACAAAACAAAAACACAAGAATTTTTAAAGAAAGATACACCCTAATGGAGACTCAGAAAGCTAGAGAGGAAAGAGTGGGGAGAGTGGGGTCCCCCTTATATGACAAAGGGAGAGAGCCCTCAAGAAGTGGACTGGAACTAGTTAATAGCAGCAGACAATCATCAAGATGCGTTTGCTTGATTTGATCCGGAAGGAGACGGGGTGTCCCTGAGGACAGCAAGTCTGCACGGACTGGGAAAAGCAGAGACTCAAGTAGGAGGAAAAGAAGGCAGAGGAGCCAGCTGTTGGCAATTCTAGCTCATTCTTGTAATCCTAGCTCCTGGGAAGGCTGAGATCTGAGGATCATAGTTTGAAGCCAGCCTGGGCAGAAAAAAGCCGGAAATGGAGCTGTGGTTCAAGAGGAAGGCAGGCAGGCAGGCAGGAAACTAGAAAATCTGCTTGTGAACAGTAGGTTGGAGAACTGGTTTGAAATTTCCAAGAACATTTTTATATTATACCCTAAAAAGTGAGGGTTCTAGGGGAGAGAGAAAGGGGTTCAGCCTTGGAAAGAGGTCCCCAAGGGAATGAGAGGGAATGTATCCCAGGAGAGAGGAATCAGCCTTGGGCCCAGGAAGGCTGATGGTCTTTTTCATTATAGGTTATGGAGCAAGACTGACTCAGGCTGGAGTTGACAGCCTGTTTTATACATGTCGTTCTGTCTCCTGCTGAGGCCAGGCCCACCCCGGATGTGGTCAACCCTGATTCTGCAGATGCTAGGAGACGGTAGATCTGAGAAGGCCTGGGGCCACTCCATAGGGGTGAACATGAAATAAGTCCTGGAGACTTTACCTACAACTGCCTTTCACCAAGCTGCAGACTAAATATCTATCCCAAAACCTGTCCTTAGGAGGTGGACCTGAGCCCTGCTCTCCTGTCTCCATAGGTGGCTGCCTGGAGAAACTCTTCTTCTTGGGCAAAACTAGGTTAATTCAGTGATTGGCAACCTGGATGATAGGCAAGACCTGGCCTGGTTCCATACTGAAGCCAGGTCATAGCCACCTGGCTACTGAAAAAAAGTCCTGAGTTTCCTGGCCTTGCTGAGATTCTTTTTTTGGGGGGGTCATGGGGCTTGAACTCATGGCCTGAGTGCTGTCCCTGAGCTCTTTTGCTCAAGGCTGGCACTCTACCACTCTGAGCCACAAGGCTACTCCCAGTTTTCTGGTGGTTAACTAGAGATAAGAATCTCACAGACTTTCCTGCCTGGACAGGAAAAAATATTTACCAGCAATATATCAGACAAGAGGTTAATATCCAGTATGTACAGGAAATTCAAGAAACTAATTCCTCTCAAACCCAACAAACCAATTACTAAATGGGCAAGGGAACTAAAGAGAGATTTCTCAGAAGAGACAAAAATGGCAAAGAAACACATGAGGAAACGTTCACCATCCTTGGTTGTAAAGGAAATGTAAATAAAGACATCCCTGAGATACTACCTTACCCCAGTCAGAATGGCCCACATCCTCAAGTCAGCCGACGACAAATGCTGGAGGGGATGTGGAGAAAGAGGAACCCTATTACACTGCTGGTGGGAATCTACACAGATACAACCTCTTTGGAAAGTGGTCTGAAGGGGCCTCAGAAAGCTAAATATTGACCTCCCCTATGGCCCAGCCATACCACTCCTAGGCATCTATCCTGAACAACAGGAACTAGTATACAAGGGCACATGCACCTTCATGTTTATTGCAGCACTGTTCACAATAGCTAGGATATGGAAACAACCCAGATGCCCCACCACAGATGAATGGATCTAAAAATTGTGGTATCTATACCAATGGAATATTATGCAGCCATTAGAAAGGACAAAATAATGGCATTTGCAGGGAAATGGATGAAACTAGAAGAAATCATATTGAGTGAGGTAAGCCAAGAGCAAAGACACAAACGGCACATGGTCTCCCTGACAAGTGGATGTTAAATCCAAAACATAAGGTGATACAACAGTTAACAAGACTTGAGAAACAAAGGACCTCCACTCATTTGTCAAATCACTACTAAATAACCCCATGCTGCTGATCACATATATGGTATATATGTGCATATCGGAGGGAAATTAGGAGGAGGACACAGAACTAGAGGGAATCAGGGAAAAAAACATACAACCGCGGGACCCATCAGCTGCACTGGACATTGATCAAAATGAGCTAAACAACTCAATGGCAGTGATGGGAGGGAGGGAACGAGTGGGAAAGAGGGAACATATCACCTGATGTGGAAGAAATAACTGTATGTCAAAGCTCAGAGAACTTATCAACTTTATAGACCATGATAGACAATTTGCCCCATGAAGTTAGAATGTGTTTGTGACTTTAACTAAGCATCACTATCCCACAATACTGTGAAATTTGTGAAATTATGTAATCACTTAATCACAATAAAGAATTTGCAAAAAAAAAGTATCTCTTATGTCAGCCCAGGCTGGCTTTGAACCAAATCCTCAGATCTCAGACTCCTGAGTAGCTAGGATTTCTGGGGGCTTGAACTCAAGATCTTTGAGTTATGCCCCCAGCCTTTTTTGCTTTATTATTCAGATAGGGTCAGCCTCAGACTGTAATCCTTCTACTTACGCTTCCCACATAGCTGGGATGACAAGCAGGCACCACTATGCCTGGCTTGTTTCCTTCCTTTTCTTTCTCTCTCTCTCTTTATATTTCTTTCTTTCTCTCTCCTTCCTTTCTTTCTTTCTTTCTTTTTTCTTTTGTTGTTGGTCGTGGGGCTTGAACTCTGTGCTTGGGCACTGTCCCTGAGCTTTTCAGCTCAAGGCTCTACCACTTGAGCCACAGAGCCACTTCCAGCTTTTTCTGTGTATGTGGTACTGAGGAATCGAACTCAGTTCTTCATGCTAGGCAAGCACTCTACCACTAGGTCACATTCCCAGGCTGCCTGGCTTGTTTTCTTGAGAAGAGATTTTAACTTTTTTTTTCCCTGATGGACCTTGAACTTCGATTCTCTTGATCTCTCCTTCCTGGGTAGCTGGGATAACAGGTGAGACTCACTAATCCCAGAAAGAACTGAACTTTAAAATCTTTTATAGTTGATTTGTTTGAATGAAGATCCATAGAAAGTCTATATAGTACAGTTAGTTCTTCATTATTATTATCGTGTGTGTGTGTGTGTGTGTGTGTGTGTGTTGGGGCTTGAACCAACAGTAACATGCACTGTTGCTTGGCAACTAGCTGTTTTTAGCATTTCAGCTGGAGGCTGGACACCACAGTCCTAGGCCTCAAGTACAATTCAGCTCTTTTGTGGTTGACTGTTCCTTATATATCATTTTAGCCTCATTAACTGTGAGGCAGACAAGACAAATCTTACTTATCTCCTATTTACAGGTGAGGAAAATAGACCTTGGGAGAGGTTAGTTCTCTTGTGGAAGATCACAGGCCAGCAGTAGTGAAGGTATATAAAATTTGGGCAGTCTCATGCTATTCCTTGGGCTTGATCACACCAAGTTGACCTTGCCTGGGCTGTCAATGTCCCTCAGCCCACCAGATCCTCCTCTAGCCAGGCCTGCCTGGTAGCCCTTCCTCATCCTCTCAGGTCCAGTGCAAACCTCGTTTAACATAATAAGAACCAACATTAGGTTGGGAATGTGGCCTAGTGATAGAGTGCTTGCCTAACATGCATAAAACCTTGAGTTCAATTCCTCAGTACCACATAAACAGAAAAAGCCAAGGGCAGCCCCAAGGACTGGGGAAAAAAAAAAAAAAGCCAACATTAAACACCTACTACTCTGTAAAATGGGGTGTGAGTCAAGCTCTTGCTGGATTATTTATTTATTCAATGCTGTCTTGGGGCTTGACCTCTGGCCTGGGTCAGTCCCTTAGCTTTTACAGTCAAGGCTAGCCCCCTTTACCACTTGAGCCATGCCTTTACTTCTGGCTGCTTGCTGCTTAATTGGAGATGAGACTCTCACAGGCTTTCCTGTCTGGGCTGGCTTTGAACTTTTATTCTCAGATCTCAGCTCCCTGAGAGCTAAAATTACAGGCATGAGTCAATGGTGTCCAGCTTCCTTGGATTATTTTAAATTATCATCCCCATAACCGTGTGAGGTAGAAAGACTGTTACAGAGGGGAAACTGAGGCTGAGGGAGGTTAAGTATCTTGCCCAAGGTCACACAGCAGAGTGACAGCCAGGGGTCTGCAGGCCCCTAGGAACCCAAGGATGGGTGGCCTCCCCCTCGCCCCTCGTGGGTGCCTTGGGGCTTCGCCTGTGCTTGGCGCGCGCAGGCCGCCCTGGGTCCACCCGCGATGGCTGTCCAGGGGTTCAGGGGTTCAGGGGTGGGCGCAGGCAATCATGTTCAGGCAATGGATGATGGGCCAGCTATGCTCGCTCCTGGCCTCCAACCGGCGAAGCGGGAGGATCCGGGCGCCGGGGATGGAGACCTGCGACCCCGGGCGATTCCCGAGGCCAGCCACGCATGAGTGCGTTGCGGGGTCCCCGGCTGGGGTCCGGCGATGGGCGCGCTCGGGCTTCGCGAGCTTTCTGGAGCGCGCGGGGGCTGGGGAGGCGGGGGAAAGGACGGCGAGCAGGCCGGGGGCGGCTGCGGGAGAGAGGACAGAACAGAGTATTTTTGCATTTTGACATTCAAGGAAGAGCAGATCGGAGCTGGCATCTGTTCCGGCTCGGAGCCGGCGGCGCGGGCCCGGGCGGGGGCTGCGGGTGGAGGGTGGGGGGGGGGAGGCACGCGCCGGTCCCGCCGCCGGGGGCGTGGCCAGCCCCGAGGGGGCGTGTCCGGCCGCCGCGAGCCCCGCCCCCGAGGGGCGAGGCCGCCCGGGAGGCGGCGCACGGCCGCTTCTCATTCATTGTCTGACAGAGCATCCTCGGGCCGCCGGGCTGCAGCTCCGCCGCTCCCGCCGCCGCCTCCCTTCCTCCTCCGCTGGGGGGTCACGCTCGTGTCCGCAGCAGGTAGGGCTGGGCCCCGTCCGCTGCGGGGACCGGGCGCCGCGGCACCGGCCACCTGTGGGGCCGCGCGGGCGAGCGTGGGAGCAGCGGGCCAGGGGTGGCGGGCTGTCAGGTGCCCCCCCGCTCTGTCGGGGGCTGGGGGGGGGGACAGGGAGGGTCCTGAGCGTTCCGAGGTGGGGGCCGCCAAGATGGAGGTGGTCCGGGCGGGAGGGGCCCCCCGGAACGGGCGCCTCGGGGCGGTGGGGGGGGGGGGGCCGGGGTGCGGCGAGCCGAGCAGCTGCTCCGAGCTGGGAGACCGGAAGGGGCCGAGAGCAAAACAAGAAAAAGACCAAGTTCCCCTTTCTGTGGTTTCCAGGCCTGGCACCTGGGTGGGGAAGGAGGGAGGGTGGGGCAAGGCTTCCTGTCCCCCCATCTCTGGTAGGGGCTCCCTTCCCCGCGGGTCTGGACGGCTCACCTGGGGCTGGTACCCATCCTTTCCTTAGCTTGGCCATTTGCTTAGGCTGCTCCTCACTGGCTTTCTGGGCAGGCAGACCTGAGAGCCACCGTGTGTGTGTGGGGGGGGCTGGGGGGGACCTCAGGGTAGGGAAGGAGGGCTGGAACCCCAGAAGAAGCGACCAGGCCTGAAAGCAGAGCAGATGGGCCAGCCTGAGGAGGTGATGGAGGCTCTGCCTTGGCAGAGTAGCTGGAGCCCTTTGGCTGAGCAGAAAGGTGGAACACTTGGGCACCGGGATGGGGCTGTGGAGCTGGAGAACAGAGGTGATCTCCCTGGCTTCGCCCACTCTCCATCCACCCAGCCATCACAGGGAAAATCATACAAGCTAATCTCCAGAGAAGTCAGCAGGCCTTCCTCCTCCATCTCCCTTCCTGTGTGTGTAGTTCCAAGGAGGGTGGAGATGGCCCTGCAGGGCACCTGCTTTTTCTGAGTGGAGGTGGGAGGCGGAGATGTGGGGAGGAAATACTGGACCCAAGCCATGGCCATCACTGCTTCTGTTGGCCAGGGATCCACTGGGAAAGCCTCCTGGCCAGGCCCACGCTCTACTTCCTCCTGTGTGCCAACCCTAGGCCAGGAGGCAAGGGAGGGGCAGCTCTGCCCAGCCTTTAGGAAGCTCCCTACGTGGATGTGCGGTGTTTGTAGGCTCTGTAAGGTTCAGTAAGAGAGGACCCAGCCTTCAGGGCGGTCAGGGTGGTCCCCTGTGTTGTTTAAACCTTTTTAGGGGAGCATTCGGCCTCCATCAGCCAGGCAGCCAACAGCTGAGCTTGTGGTGTCATACCACACAAAGCTGTTTTAGGGGATGAAGGGGCAGTATTGAAAAGGTGGCTTGGAGGGCCTAGGGGTGGAGCATCTGAGCCTGTGGGTTAAGCAGGAGTGAGGCGCTACTGAGAAGGGCTAAGAGACTGCCAGCCAGGGGAGAGAATAAGGGCAGTGCCACAGAGATGATGCTGGGATTCTAAAATCCACATTGAAGGTGTCTGAGGGATGTGTAGCTTCTGAAAGGTCAGAGGTGACCTTTCAGAGGTAGTAAATGTCACGTGTGTTTTCCAGGATGAGCCGGCAGGTGGTCCGTTCCAGCAAGTTCCGCCATGTGTTTGGACAGCCAGCCAAGGCTGATCAGTGCTATGAGGATGTGCGGGTCTCACAGACCACCTGGGATAGTGGCTTCTGTGCTGTCAACCCCAAATTCATGGCCTTGATCTGTGAAGCCAGTGGGGGTGGAGCCTTCCTGGTGCTGCCCCTGAGCAAGGTGAGTCCCTGGAGTCCCAGACGGCAGCTCTCCTCCTGAGGATGTCACCAGTGTTGTCCCTGTGTAACTGAGCAGAGACAATGTGCCTAAGCTCCCTCCAGCTTCTGTGTGTAGTGGTGGTGTGGGAATGGAGGTCCGGAGGAGACAATGTGAGGGAGCCATACAGAGATGCAGGCTAGGACCGAGTCTCCCATGTCTCAGATTGGGGATCTCTGCCCTGGGAAGTACAGAGTGGGCTAGGAGGTTTCAGTGTGGATCCAGCAGTGTTCTCAGGCTATGGACTGCAGCTCTTGGCCTAAGGAGGAACCAGCCTTTGGGGGACCAGCAAGTTGCAGCCCCAGTTCACAGGCATGGTGATTAAAAGGCCAGTCTAATTGGGCCTGCTGTCCATCCTGCTTACCCTCTTCTGACCCCTGCCCCCAGCACACTCTTGTTTTTTTGGGGGTGAGACAGGAAGAGGAGATGGGCCCCAAGTTGTTACCTTAAAAGGGCCGATGGAAATACAGAGAAGAGGAAGTGGTTGTTGGGGTGAGAGCTGGGCCTGTGCTCTGAGCAGCTCTCCACACAGGAAGCCCTGCTGAGGCAGTTGGCCCCACAAGAGGCCATTTCCAAATCTCTGCTGCTGCCTGGGAGCCATGAGGACAGACCTTCTAGGTCCATTTGGCAAGACATATCCCTGCACCACCCCCACTCACATTTCCATAGGACCTCAACGCTACACCTGTATTGGGCCTGTTGTGCCCATGGAGGCCTTTCTGGGAAGCTGGGGTGGGGGAGGGGGGAGGGAGAGGCAGGGTGCTGGCCCTCAGAGTCCAGAAACAGGAAGGGCCCAAATCACACGTGGCTTAGCATACCCCACCTTCCACCACTTGTGGCCAGCCTGCTTGGGATGGGGGCAAAGATGATAACCCCTATCCACCCTAAGGTGTTCTGTCCATCTGCAAAGCAGGTAGGAAGGTTGGATTGGGTTTAGAGGGCCAAGGGCTCCCATCAAAGGCTCTGCTTCCTCTCCAGACTGGACGAGTGGACAAGAATGTGCCCCTGGTCTGTGGCCACACAGCCCCCGTGCTGGACATTGCCTGGTGCCCCCACAATGACAACGTCATTGCCAGTGGCTCCGAGGACTGCACGGTCATGGTGAGTGCTGCTGGGAATGCCGGCCAGGAGGGGGCTCCAAGATGAATTCAACATTTGGAGCCCCAGACTTAACTCACCCTTTCTCTGCAGGTATGGGAGATCCCGGATGGGGGTCTGACACTGCCCCTGAGGGAACCTGTTGTCACCCTGGAGGGCCACACCAAGCGGGTGGGCATTGTGGCCTGGCACCCCACAGCCCAGAATGTGCTGCTCAGCGCAGGTGCTGCAGGCAGAGGGGCAGAGGGCTGGGGGCTGACAGATGGCTCGTGGCTTCTGACACTGGGGCAATTGCACAGGTTGTGATAACGTGATCCTGGTGTGGGATGTGGGCACTGGAGTGGCTGTGCTGACACTGGGTCCAGATGTGCACCCAGACACGATCTACAGTGTGGACTGGAGTAGAGATGGGGCCCTCATCTGCACCTCCTGTCGTGACAAGCGCGTGCGAATCATAGAGCCCCGCAAAGGCACTGTGGTAGCTGTGAGTTGCTATGAACCTTGACTCTTTTCCTCAGGCCTTTATTCCTCCTACCCTACCCACTATCCACCAGCCCCTTGGGTGCTGCCCCCCTCCATGTCCCACCTATGCCCCTTAGTGGGGTGTGTGTGTGTGTGAGACCCTCTAACTCCCTCCCTTTCTTTGCAGGAGAAGGACCGTCCTCATGAGGGGACCCGGCCAGTACACGCAGTGTTTGTGTCGGAAGGGAAGATCCTGACCACAGGCTTCAGTCGCATGAGTGAGCGGCAGGTGGCGCTGTGGGACACAGTGAGTGCTGAGCCTGGAAATGGAGCCCTGGGCTGGGAATCAAGCCTTCATGCCTACTCTGCTAGTGCCTAGCCAAATGGCCACAGGCCTCAGTTTACCTATCTGTAATTTGAGTTTCCACTGCTTTGTTTGGAAAGCCTCTCCTGGTCATTGCCCCATGAAGTTCACTGTCTCAGGGCCTAATGAGGCCCAGCCTGTTAACTACCTTCCACCTATCTCTACAGAAGCATCTGGAGGAGCCACTGTCCCTGCAGGAACTGGACACCAGCAGTGGAGTCTTGTTGCCCTTCTTTGACCCTGACACCAATATTGTCTACCTCTGTGGCAAGGTGTCTCAGCTGAGTGGGTCAGGGAGGTGGGCAGGGGGCTTCGACAGGACTGGGCTGGAGATGCTATTGGTGCTGACACTCGCACACCCCTCCTGCAGGGGGACAGCTCTATCCGGTACTTTGAGATCACCTCGGAGGCTCCGTTCCTGCACTATCTCTCCATGTTCAGTTCCAAGGAGTCACAGCGTGGTATGGGTTACATGCCCAAACGTGGTCTGGAAGTGAACAAGTGTGAGATTGCCAGGTGACTGACCCCTGATCCTGACAGGAGCGTGCTCTTGGGCCAGCGCTGACCTCATGATGATCTTTAGGCCCTCAGCGGACATGCTGTGGCACCGCTCACCTTCCTCTCTCCACAGATTCTACAAGCTGCATGAGCGGAAGTGCGAGCCCATCGCCATGACAGTGCCTAGGAAGGTGAGACACTGGGGTGGCTCCCTGTGCCCTATGGGCTGTGGCCAGGGTGGGTCGCAGGGTGGGCTAGTGTTCCCCATAAACAATCTCATGACCAGTCTTCATCTCGCCTACAGTCGGACCTATTCCAGGAGGACCTGTACCCACCTACCGCTGGGCCTGATCCTGCCCTCACAGCTGAGGAGTGGTTAGGGGGTCGTGATGCTGGGCCCCTCCTCATTTCCCTCAAGGATGGCTATGTACCTCCAAAGAGTCGGGAGCTGCGGGTCAACCGGGGTCTGGACAGCACACGCAGGAGGGCAGCACCAGAGGCCAGTGGTACTCCTAATCGGGTAAGCCAGGATGGGGAAATAGGATAGGGCAAGAACTGCTGGATGGGACCAGTGCCCCAGTGGCAGGAGGTTGGCATTGGGACCTGTCATTGAGGGGCTAGAAGTAGGAAATGCTGAGATCTCAGAAAACGGGAGTGGGCTTATGGGTTTAGGCAGGTACTGACTAAGACACCAGGGACAAGCCCTGAGGTTCTCCAGAGGGCTGGCAGATGCCAGGGTAATGAGCTGGGGGTGTGGGTCAAGTGGTAGAGCACCGGCCTAGCAAGTGTGAAGCTTGAGAGTTCAAACTCCAGTACTGCTAAGGGGAGCCGAGGAAGGAGAGGGACCTGACACGGTGCTGGGTCTCCCAGGATGCCGTGTCCCATCTGGAGGAGGAGATGGGGAAGCTGCAGGCCACAGTGCAGGAGCTACAGAAGCGCTTGGACAGGCTGGAGGAGATGGTCCAGGCCAAGTAGAGGAACCTGGGGCCTTCAGTGGGGCCGAACATTCACATCCCTCACCTCGCTCCCTATATCCCAGGCCACCATGGCAGATAAGAAAAATAATAAAATGTTTTATTTTCTGGTACCTCCTCTCAGACGACTGTTTACTTGAAAGTCAGGTCTGTGGAACTGACCCGTGCAGAGCTTCTCCCTCCCTAGTCTTGATGGGTCTGTCCTTAGCTCGGGATCTCTTCTGAATGTAGTCTGCGGAGGAATGGCCTAAGTATCTCTCTTTGGTTCAGAGACTTCCTGCTGCTCAGTGCAGCTGCCCCTTGTCCCTTCCTGTGGCTTCTGTGAAGAAGACTTAGCAGAAATAGATCTGTGAGGCCCTATCAAGAGAGCTTGTGGGATTTCACTGCCAAATTTTCAGGAGCCTCTTGGGCTGGGCTAACACAGGCTCACAGTGTGGTTCATAACATGCAAGACCCATCAAAGGCTCCATTCCCAGAATATCCTATACAGCATGTCACAGGACAAAGAGGACTGGGTGGTGAGCTGCACAGGACAGACAAATGTCCTTGCCCACATTTAAGACTCTACCTCTGTGGAGGTCACCTGACCGTCGGCCAGGGAAGGCAATCAGCACAGCTTGGGAATACAGAGGTGGATTACATCAGGGTGGAGGCTGGGTTTCGCTTGCATCTCTTCTGTACAACTGACATGATAGGCCTTTCTGGGTAGACTCCAGTCACTAATTTTCTCCTGCTCCAGGAGAACAAAGTTTAGAAAATGATCTCTGGGATATAAACCACTCTGACTCCAACTTGGCCAGCCCATGCTCTCTGATGTGAACAAGAGGAGCAAGTGGAGAAGTTAATACATGGGTTAAGAAATAATCCTTGAAAACAGAAGAGCTAGATGTGGTGGCCCACAATGCTGTCCCAGTGATGGAGGGAGTGGAAGGATCATTTGAGCTCGTGAGTTGGAGATCAACTTGGAAAACACACATCAGGTCTCAAAGCATAAAGAAAAAGGCAAAACTAAGTATATGGCAAAACTAAAACATGTCATGCTCAAACAGCCAAGGCTCCAAGTAAATTACCTGATGTCAGGAATATCTCTACAAGATCCCACCAAACCTACCAATGGAGGATTTAGACTGACACACATATACCATCTGCCCTGTTATGTTGCTCAGGTTAGCCTTACCTTCCTGCTCCAATCCTGTGCCTGTCTCTTGCTCACAGGCCCCATTTTGAGAAGCCCAGGGAATTCCTAGGGGCAGCAGGTAAGGAAGAGCACTTACTGAACACTGGTACCCTGAGGACTGGGAGAACATGCAAGTCATTTTCTGTCAGGGCTCTCTGAAGGAAAGAGAGGTTTTGTTCAGCTACCAGAGCCTGAAAGAAACCCTATGGCCTTTCTCATAAATACATCTTTTTTTTTTTGGTTGGTCGTGGGCCTGAACTCTGGGCCTGGGCGCTGTCCCTCAGCTCTTCAGCTTAAGGCTAGCGCTCTACCACTTGTGCCAAAGTGCCACTTCTGGCACTGTGGAATCGAACCCAGGGCCTCATGCATGCAAGGCCACCTTCCCAGACCCTCAATACATCTTGAAGGAAACTCCTGCTCTCTGGAGGTGGAGTTGACAGTACACCACTGGAGAAGGCTTGCAAAGCAGACATGGGAAGGACACTAAGAAAGATAGAGGAAAGGCAGGAACAAGACTAAACTCAGCGTCTCTCCCCCTCCCCAACACCGATACAAGAAGCAACCCCGAGGGGCTGGGAAGGTGGCTCAGTGGTAGAGTGCTTGCCTTGCATGCCTGAGGCCCTGGGTTCGATTCCGCAGCACCACATAAGCAAAATGAAAAAAGCCGGAAGTGGCACTATGGCTCAAGTGGTAGAGCGCTAGCCTTGAGCTGAAGAGCTGAGGGACAGCGCGCAGGCCCAGAGTTCAGACCCCACGACCGGACCCAAAAAAAAAAAAAAAAAAAGAAGCAACTCCGATTTATGTTTTTGTCATTTAATAGCTGAGCAGGCTCCATCCCTCACTTCCGACACTCCCGTCTCCACTGCTCTGGGGTCAGGGTTTTCTGCTCAAAGGCATGGATGCACTGCAGCTCCTTCGCTAGGCACTCATTCACCAGCCTGGGGGAGACAGGACCGGACCTCGATGGTCCCCGAAGCCAGCGCGACCGCGGAGCCACCGCTTTCCCCGAGCTCGTGGGAATTCCCCGCGAGCCGTGGGAATCTCCGATGTCCACACAGTCGCAATCCAAGCAGCAAGGACCGCAGGGGCGGTCGCCGGGGCCGTGGGCCTCTCTGCGGGGCTGAGGGCCCCGGGCGGCCGGGGCTGGGGCTGGCGGCCGGGGCTGGGGCTGGCGGCCGGGGCTGGGGCCGGCCCGGGGGCCGCGCGGGGTGAGGGTCCCAGTGGCTCACCGGTGTCGCTGAAGCAGTGGCTTCCCTTCGAACTTAGCCGACACGACGAGGACTCGGAAGCTGGTGGCGCAACGGCTGCGCGTCGTGTCCTCCACTTCCTACGGGGCGGGAGAATGGACGCGGTCGGGGCGGGCCCGCCCCCGGGAGCCCTTGGGCCCGCGTCGCGTCGGGGCGGGCCCGGCGGCTCACTCACCACGTGCTCCGCCTCCAGGCCCCGCAGCAGCTTCTCCCGGAGGCAGTCGGCCGTGAGTTCCATGGCCGCAACCCAGCGGGGGCGGCAGCCCGGCGGGGACACGGCCCCACCTCGGACGGGCCCCACCACGCTCCCGGTCAGCTGGAGCCGCTTCCGCTTCGGCGCCCACTTCCGCCCTTACTGGGGAAGCTGAAAGGCGGCACTTCCGCCCTCACGCAAACCGGGTTTTCTGACAGCCGAGGGTGGCCGCGCCTTTCACTGCTAGCCAATCAGAATCAGCCTGAGGACGGGCCCTGCGGGGGCCGACGCTGATTGGTTCGCGCTGGCAGCTTTCAGCTCGGTCCGGAGCTGGGCAGCCTGCTGTGCACCGGTTCTTCCAGCCAGAAGAGGGTGCCCTAAACTGCATTGCTAGGTTTCGTCGCCCAAGTCCTCCCCAGGGTTCAGTTACAGAAATCAACCCCCAGCTTCGCTCCGACTCATAAACCCCAATGGGTCCCGGAGGGGGTGCAGTGAAGCCAGGGCGCTTCTTCGGGGTCTACCTGCTCTACTGCCTGAACCCTCGGCATCGAGGCCGAGTCTACGTCGGGTTCACGGTTAATCCTGCTCGTCGAGTCCAGCAGCACAACGGCGGTCGCAAAAAGGGCGGGGCCTGGCGGACTAGCGGAAGAGGGCCGTGGTAAGCTGGTGCAGGTCTCTAATGGAGTAGGGCTTTAGGGAGGCGGGCCTGAAAGGGCAGAGACCTCTGAGAGGGAGCGTAGGGCGGGGCTGGAGAAACTGAAGTTGAGCCCAGCAATTTGAATTCGCAATAGGGCGCTGTCTGGGAGGCGACTTGGTTGTAGCTCAAATGGTAGAGCCCTTGTCTGATGTGTGCAAAGTCATCGGTTTCATTCTGGGCTGGGGTTGGTTATTCTAGCACTATTCACAACAGCCAAGTACCATCAACAGATCAATGGAAGTGCCATCAACAGATGAATGGAAAAAGAAAAAAAATTTGTGTTTTGGAGTTTAATTCGGCCAGAAAGAAGGATGAAATTATGTCCTTTTCAGGAAAACAGACAGAACTAGAGATTGTTAAGAAAGGGAGGAGCCAAATAATGCATTTTTTTTCTTTTATATAATCTAGAATGGGGGGTGGATGGGAGCTAAGAGCCAGGCCTTGGGGCACAACACAAGAGGATCACTGGAATTCAAGCCTGACCTACATAGTGAGACTCTTTTCACAAGGAATGGGGGGCGGAGGGGGGGAGGGAAGAAAGCTAGACACTAGTGGCTAGGACTGTAATCCTAGCTACTCTAGAAGCTGAAGACTGAGAATCCTGGTCTGAAGCCAGCCTGGGCAGGAAAATCCACGAGACTCTTCAATTAATCACCAAAAAGGAGCTAGAAGTGGAGCTGTGGCTCAAATGGTAGACAGTGCTAGCTTTGAACACAAAAGCTCAGGGACAGTGCCTAGGCCCTGAGTTCTAGCCCCAAGCTTGAGGCAGTAGAAACGGAGGGATGTGGAGTATGCATATGCTAAAATTATTTTATACAAGCGTAACAAATGTCTTAATGAAGCCTATCACTTTGTACAGCTAATATATGCTAATTGTATAACATGCAAAAGGAGCTTGGTAAGCAATGCTGGGGATGGATTAGAGCTTGTGACAGTTAAGTACCTGAGATTGGAAGTGAGGACTGAGGACTGTAGTTGGGAGAGGTCTTAGCTGCACAAAAGGGGGGGGGGCCTTCATGGTCCTTTAAGGTCTGTAAGACTTGGGCTTAACTCACCTTGGAGGTCTGAAGTCAAAGCACGGCTTATAGGATTTGGCTTCTTTCAGAATGCGGGTGAACAGGGTCTCACAGGCTGCTTCCTTCTTCTCCTTTCCAGGGAGATGGTGCTCATTGTGCATGGCTTCCCGTCTGCTGTAGCAGCTCTTCGGGTAAGAGAGGTGACCGGGTGCTAAAAAAGGTGGGCAGAACTGGGGCTTGAGGCTTGGCCCGGGCCCTCTTGCCCTTTGTCTCCCTGACTCACTTGTGCACCCTACCACAGTTCGAGTGGGCCTGGCAGCACCCGCAAGCCTCGCGCCGCCTAGCACACGTGGGTCCGCGCATGCGCAGTGAAGTAGCCTTCGATTTCCACCTGCGCGTGCTGGCGCATATGCTGCGTGCGCCGCCCTGGGCGCGTCTCCCGCTCACACTGCGCTGGCTACGCCAGGACTTCCGCCGAGATCTTTGTCCTCTGCCGCCGCCGCACGTGCCACTGGCCTTTGGGCCACCGCCGCCTAAGGCCTCGGCCCCCATGCCCAGGGCTGTGCCTGTAGCTGACAAGCCTGCCCAAGGCTCTGAGACCGGCTGCACCCTCTGCGCATGCGCGTTCCAGGTCGGTAAGCCCCACCCCAAGCAGGGATGGAGTTAGGCCTGAGTCTTGGTACTGACTTTGCCCACCTGGCTTCATCTCTGAAACGGTGAGAATATAACTTTTGGCCCTTCCTGGCCTCCTCAGTTACTGCTCAGGGCCTTTACCCTTGCCCTTTGACTATGTCTTCCCTGGCCTTCATCTGAGATCGCAGCACTACCTTGTGCTACCCGTTCCTTCTTCCTCTTAACATATAGTTTCACGTTATATGTTATCAGTTTCCACTCTTCACGCGCATCTCCAGGAGGGCAATTCTTGTTCACTTCTGCACTGAGCAAGTAGTCCATAAATACATGGTGGGGCCTGGCTTCTGCTGAGCTCTCAGTAAAGCTGCTTTCTCTGTCTGCCACCTCTGACAGGATGAAGAGGGGCCCCTGTGCTGCCCCCACCCTGACTGCTCCCTCAGGGCCCATGTAATCTGCTTGGCAGAGGAGTTCCTTAGGGAAGAACCAGAGCAGCTTTTGCCCCTAGAAGGCCAGTGTCCTTGGTGAGTCCAGTCCCTTTTCCAACCTGGAGCAGCCCTGGGGAGAGGTGCTCAGCGGTCCACTGTGGGCCAGCTGGGTCCTCATTGAAGCTCATAGAACATAGACTGGAGGGGGCAGGAAATGCCTAACTACCAACTGCACCCCTTTGGTAGTTGTAAGAACTCACTGCTCTGGGGAGACCTGATCTCACTGTGTGGAATGAGCACTGAGGAGGAAGAGGAGGACTCAGAATTAGAACAGGTAAGAGGCTGGGGGCTCAAGGCCCAGCTTCCCCATCTCCTAACACCTACTCCCCAAGGCTTCATTTGATTAACCTTTTTGTCCCCACAGGAACACTGGACAGACATGTTGGAAACCTGATCCTCGGTGTCTCCAACCCAGCTACCTTTTTGTTCCCCTTGTCCATGGTCTGGGCAGTTTTTACTTGAATAAAATAAAAGGTCTGACTTTGGGGTACCTTTCTGGTGTTTTTTTGTGGAGATCTAGATGAGGGCAACAGAGGTGGGAGGAGGAGCTGCTGGTCTGACCTTATGACCCACCTCCTCCTTTTTCAGTTTTCCTTTGGTTACACAGTATCTCTCTCTCTCTCTCTCTCTCCCCCTCTCTCTCTCTCTCCCTCTCTCTCTCTCTCTCTCTCTCCCTCCCTCCCTCCCTCTTTCTCTCTCTGTATATGTGTGTGTGTGTGGTTCTGGGGTATAACCTCAGGAATATCCCTCTGGCTAAGTAGGGGATCTACCACTAAAGCAATGTCCTCAGTGCCTTTTTTTCCCCTTTATTTTTTTGGTAGGGTCTTGTATTGTTTTTGCCTGAGGTTAGCCTCACACTACAATCCTCCTACCTATGGCAGCTGTAAATCTCAGGTCCTCAGCACAACTGGTTTATTGTTCACCTTTACCCCAGGCTGGCCTGAACTATGATCTTCCTGATCTCTGTCTACCAAATAGCTGGGACTACAGGCATGGGCTGGGCCACTGCACCTGGTCTGGTTATACTGTACAACTTTTTAGAAGCTTGTAGACTCGCACTCATCATGCAGAGAGCCTGCATGTCCAGTGCTGAGCTTGACTTTAGATCTTAACCCCAAATGTAAGAAAAAGGTAAAGTAGGAGGGCAAAAGGTGGCCTCCTTCTATGGGACCCTGTGGTTTCCCTGCCCTGGCCTCTCTGTATATGCCTGCAGAGCCCTTGTGAACCTAGGGAAAGAAAAGCCCCTTTAGGGGGCTTGAATAGGTACCAAGGAGCCATGCACAGGGACTCCCTTCAGGTCTTTTGGACTCTAGTGCCCTTTTTCTGTCCTGTGAGGTGCTGCCAACTCCACTAGATTCAGATTCTTCTCAGAGCAGCTAGTTCCCGGAAAGCCTTGTTTGTCCCGCCCATTTCTTCTTACTCCTCCCCCTGACTGGGTCAGTTGTACTGACAGCCCCTGCAGGGTGGAGTTTAGATGAGTCAAACAGGACCTAGATTACAGCTGGAAGAACAAAACAATCTGCCCTGGTCCTTTCACCTACTCTCACCCCTTTTGTTTTCTACAGTCTAAACCTACTTACTGGATATTCAGACAGGTCTGAGGATATTTCTAGTTCCTGTGCTACAATGCATAACATTCCCCCACCCTTTCCTTCCGGAGGAGACTGCAGGGAGTGCCTACTATGGTCAGAAAACAACTTACTCCATTCCTAAACCCCACCTTTTCTATCTCTGTGGTAGCCGGTTCCAACACTGGCTCCACCTCCCTATTACTCAGGACCTATAAAACCGAGAGAGCTCTGTACTCAGTGCACAGGGCACTCGGCTCCACCACTGCTCACTCACCAGGGAGGCCACAGGGTGTTCCCTCAGATAAGGTGAGTGCCGGAGTCGGGAGGGGAGGGATTGACCACCAAGCAATGCCCAGCTCCTAGTCTCGACATCTTCTAGTTATGGTTTGCTCTTGTTTGACTGGACTTCTGTTTGATCTGTAGTCGGAGCCTCTATCCTCCTGCTCTTGCCCCAGAGATCTCCCAGCTCTACTAGCTGGCTTGGTAAGCTTGGACAAATCAATCTCCGGAAGCCTCAGGATCCCAACCCCAAAGCAAGAATTCAAATGAGACAGGTGTGCCAGTGGCTCCTATGTGTAATTCTAGCTATTCAGGAGGCTGAGATCTGGAGGACTGCAGATCAAGGCTAACTAACATGGGCAGAAAAGGCCACTAGACTCCATCTCCAAAATAACCAATAAAAGGCAGGGCTGGATGAGTGGTTTAAATGGTAGAATACCAGTTTAGCAAGCATGAGGCCTTGAATTAAACCCCTGATCCACATCCAAGATGATGATGATGATGATGATAATAAATAGGGCTGTTGTGGTTGTGTTAAGTGGGCAAGGCTGAGTCTCCTGAGGACACATGGAATTGGTCCAGGACACCTCCCGCCCGTCACTGGTAGATATGAAGGGCATACCAATGATCAAGTACTTTGCAGAAGGGACAAGGCTGCTACAGGACTTCCAGGCCCGCGATGACGACCTGCTTGTCAGCACATACCCCAAGTCAGGTAAGGAGGCAGGCCTACCCTCCTTTCTTGGGCTGCAGTTCACAACTGGTAAGTGGGGCCAGGCCCTTAGCCCAATTCATCCCAATTTCCCTTACTCTCCAGGCACCACTTGGGTGAGTGAGATACTGGACATAATCTACCAGGGTGGTGATTTGGAGAAGTGTCGCCGGGCCCCCATCTACATGAGGGTGCCTTTCCTTGAGTTCACAAGCCCAGGTGTTCCCTCAGGTATGTGGAAGAGTGAAAGGGGAAATAACAAGGTAGGAGGTAGGCCAGGGCCTCAACTCACTTGACCTTCCCTGCCTACCCTTAGGTCGAGAGGCTCTGGAAAGCGCCGAACCCCCCCGGCTCCTCAAGACACACTTGCCCCTGGCCCTGCTCCCCCAGAGCCTGCTGGACCAGAAGGTCAAGGTGAGAGGCAGGGCAGGGCCCTGGCCACAGCAGCTTTGGTCTTGGTCTGGGATGGACCCCTCCAGCCCTGTGACATTGCAAATGGGGAGGCTATGTGCCTGTTTAGAGGATCAGAAAAGTGAGATACTTCAGGGTGCCCCTGAGATATCTAGGTTCTCGTGGGACACTGAGAGAGCCTGGTCGGACCCAAGTCTACCTTGTTCCAGTCTGGGTGTGGAGATTGAAGGTGGTAAGATTAGTATGGAATATAATTCTAGCCACCAGCCATGACTTTGCATTTGTATTAGTTATCACTGAAAAAACACCTGAGATAAGCAACTCAAGGAAAGCTTTATTTTGGTTTAAGCTTCTAGTCCACGATCAGGGGCTTTTTTTGTTTTTGGCTTGTGGTGAAACATAGAAAGCTGTGGTGAAATCCACATTACGGTACAAGAGGAACCAGATAAACCCTTCACAGCGATGCCCAAAGTGACACCATCCTCTAATAAAACCTCAAATCCTAGTTACTGCCACCTACTAATAATGTTAAAAAATAGGAATCAATCAATGGATGTAAACAACCAATTAAGCCAGAGCCCTCAGAATTCAAACATTCTCCACAGTGCTATAAACAAGACCAGACAGACTTTCAACCAATGTGCTGTTTGGGGTGACACCCATATCCAAACCATAACAGCATTAAAGCAGGGTTTAAATGCCAACTTGGTGGCCCCAAACCAGCCCGCTTCCTCCTTAGCTACTATACCCAGACAAAACTCCTAAACTGAGTGCTGAGAAGGGAAACAGGAAGGCAGGATGGGGAGCTAGGACTAGTGTGGGGTGCAGTGTGGTGAGGGTTTGGGGTATGGGGGTCTGCCCCTGCAGGTCATCTACATTGCCCGCAATGCAAAGGATGTGGCCGTCTCCTATTATAACTTCCACCTCATGGCCAAGGTGCACCCTGACCCTGGCACCTGGGACAGCTTCCTGGAGAAGTTCATGGATGGGGAAGGTAGGTCTGACTGTGCAGGAAGGAGGGGGCTGGAGCTGAGGGGCAGCAGCTAAAACTAAGCCCAGCTGTGTTTATGCCTGTGTTGCTCCCCAGTGTCCTATGGGTCATGGTACCAGCATGTGCGGGAGTGGTGGGAGCTGCGCCACACGCACCCTGTGCTGTACCTCTTCTATGAAGACATGCAGGAGGTGAGACCACCTGCTGATGCTTCCTTCCCTGTGGCAGCTGGGGAACAGAAACCCACAGGGACTATGTCCTCCTAGCACCTCAGCCCAGGTCCCTGGTCTAGGATTTCCATTTCCGTCTCCTGTACATCATCTCCCCCACACCCCTGGAACTAGCATTTGAACTCAGGCCTCTCAATTGCTAAGCAGGTGTTCTTTCATTTAAGCCATGCCTTCAGTTTTGTTTTTCCAGTTCAGACTCTCAAACCCAGGGCTTTGTGAATGTCCAAAAGTGATTCAGCCCTAGCCTCTATCCACCAGCTGTGCCATCAGTACCAGCTCAGCAGAAGACACTGCAATGCTGGTCCTAATCTCCAAGCACATGCGTTACCCACATGTGTTGTGAACCATTAGCAATGGTGCTTCTGCTTCTCCCTCTCTCCCATGAGGTGTCAGCATGGGTCCCAGCAATGAATGCCTATTGCTGTACTCTCCCAGAAAGGATGCACTGGGCTCAGTCCTTGATGGCAGAATAGGAAATGATTAGTTTGCCAGGGAAAGAGGCCCAGAGTCTAAGAGCTAAGCCTGAGAGTTCTCATAGCAAGTAGGCAACTCCCTGTGGCCTTAAAGAGGGCAGCTGAGGGCATTTGCCCAATGTACAATCCAAACCTCCACTGAAGGGTCTCTATGTTGTTGCAGAACCCCAAAAGGGAGATTCGAAAGATCCTGGACTTTCTGGGGCGCTCTGTGCCTGAGGAAACCATAGATCTCATTGTCCAGCACACAACCTTCAAGGAGATGAAGAAGAACCCTATGACTAATTACACCACTATACCCAGTCACCACATGGACCACAGTGTTTCCCCATTCATGAGGAAAGGTAGGCCCCAGCCAGGGTGGGTATTTGGGGAAAGCAGATGGTAATAGTTAGCAAGTCCACTCTGGTCCACTTGGGGCCTCCTCTGTGGCTGAAATTCCATCTTCCTTCTGTCCCTGTCTAGGCATCACAGGAGACTGGAAAAACACCTTCACTGAGGCCCAGAACAAGCGCTTTGATGCCCACTATGCTGACAAGATGGCAGGCTGTGACCTCACCTTTCGTTATCAGATTTAACTATATTACCAGGAGTTACTTCAGAGCAGTTTGAACAAACCTATTGTTCGCATTCCCTCTCTACCAGCCCCTCCCACTCCTTCATAAAGCACTCTCTGGGGGGCTCCCACCAGCTCCTTTGGGACAGGTGGGCACTCCCACTCTCCACCAGACCTAGCTGCACATGCAGAGTACCTCCCACTTCTAGCCCTGGAGTTACAAGGATCCACCTGGATGGGGACAGGTGCTGTATTGCTCCCTCTCCCATGGGGAAGATGGCCCCTCTGATAAACCTCCTTCTGTATGTGGCTTGTCTCTGCATGGTCCTCTGGGATGGCTACCTACACCTATGGCCTCAAGAATTAAATATGATAAAGATAAGAGAAATGTGAGCTATAAGAATAGCTAGAAGCCGTATGCTGGTGGCTCATGCCTGTAATTCTAGCTACTCAGGAGGCAGAGATCTGAGGATTGTGGTTCAAAGTCAGCACGAGCAAGAAAGTCTGTGAGAGTCTGAGAGACTCTTATCTCCAACAAACCACCAGAAAAACGAAAGTGGTGCTGTGGCTCAAGTGGTAGAGCACTAGCTTTAAACTGAAGAGCTGAGAGACAGCAACCAGACCCAGACTTCAAGCCCCACTTAAAAAAAAAAAAAGAATAGCTGGAAGTATGGTTCAATTGGTGAAGCCCCTGTCTAGCCAACATAAAGCTCTGAGTTCAAACCCCAGTTCTATGCCCCACAAAAAGAAGAAAAGCTACTGAGACAGATGGGGCCCTCTACCCACTCAGTCTCCAGGGAGAAGACATTTCTTCTCAGCCCCAAGCTCTAGACAGAACTCCCAGAATGAGAGCTCCCTGTCTTTTCTGCCCACACTGCTACTCTGGGGCCATGGAGTCCACACCCTGCTGCTCAGAGCTCTCTCTCATGATCAGGAAGTAAGGAGAAATGCAAAGGGAGAGGCTGCCCCACAGTGAAGAATGGCAGGGGGCAAGTGCCAGTGGGAAGCTGTTGTTAAGGGAATGAACAACCTGGCTACCATAGGCCTTACCCAGCAGCAAGAGGCAGAACAATCTTTGGCTGCAGGAGTGAGCACAATCAAGCAACATGTCAGGTGCGCCAAAGCTGACAGGAAAGTAGGAGGTAGACCTGGTACGTTCACAGGGCTTAGGCGCCATTTCTCTACTTGCCAAAGGCCATAGTAGACATCTTTCCAACTCTAGGTGAAGGATAAAATGATCAAGAGGAACTTACATAAGGGAAAGCTTAGAAGCAATCCAATAAACTTGACCCTGGTTTTCAGATGAGAAAGCCGAGACGTAGAAGACTTGCTTGCTGAAGGGCAGACTGAATCCTGGACTAGGCCTTGATACTGCACACTGTAACTGTCTTTTCTGCTTTCTGTGGCCTCTACTTGCCCTAGCCTCTCAAAATAGCACAGGCAGAAATAGCACTATCAGGTCCTAACAAAAGGTGCTTGGGAGTGTGGGGTGGTGCTCACGATTCAATTTGTTCAAGACAGGAATATCACAGGGCTGTTGAGGTGGGTGTCTTGGCACCCAGGTCTTGGTTCATACTGTGTTAACTCCATCAAAAGCTTCATACTCAGCCCTTTCCTATACAATGCCATATTAGAAAGAGATATTTTGGTAAAGAACTTCATGAGTCGGGATGTCCCCTGCCCACCCACTTGGGCCAGACAGCCCCTGCTGTCTGGGAATTAGGGTGGACATTACACAGCGCTGGAGGCCTAGAGGCTTGCAAAGTTAAGTCCCAGGAAGGACTTAGGACCTAGAGGTGCAGATTCGCAGAGGAATTTGTCCACGGTAAGACAGGGATAGAGTAGAGCGTCCAACCCCCCCGCCCCCAACACCGATACAAGAAGCAACCCCGATTTATGTTTATGTCATTTAATAGCTGAGCAGGCTCCATCCCTCACTTCCGACACTCCCGTCTCCACTGCTCTGGGGTCAGGGTTTTCTGCTCAAAGGCATGGATGCACTGCAGCTCCTTCGCTAGGCACTCATTCACCAGCCTGGGGGAGACAGGACCGGACCTTGATGGTCCCCGAAGCCAGCGCGACCGCGGAGCCACCGCTTTCCCCGAGCTCGTGGGAATTCCCCGCGAGCCGTGGGAATCTCCGATGTCCACACAGTCGCAATCCAAGCAGCAAGGACCGCAGGGGCGGTCGCCGGGGCCGTGGGCCTCACTGCGGGGCTGAGGGCCCCGGGCGGAGGGGGACGGGCTGGCGGCCGGGGCTGGGGCCGGCCCGGGGGCCGCGCGGGGTGAGGGTCCCAGTGGCTCACCGGTGTCGCTGAAGCAGTGGCTTCCCTTCGAACTTAGCCGACACGACGAGGACTCGGAAGCTGGTGGCGCAACGGCTGCGCGTCGTGTCCTCCACTTCCTACGGGGCGGGAGAATGGACGCGGTCGGGGCGGGCCCGCCCCCGGGAGCCCTTGGGCCCGCGTCGCGTCGGGGCGGGCCCGGCGGCTCACTCACCACGTGCTCCGCCTCCAGGCCCCGCAGCAGCTTCTCCCGGAGGCAGTCGGCCGTGAGTTCCATGGCCGCAACCCAGCGGGGGCGGCAGCCCGGCGGGGACACGGCCCCACCTCGGACGGGCCCCACCACGCTCCCGGTCAGCTGGAGCCGCTTCCGCTTCGGCGCCCACTTCCGCCCTTACTGGGGAAGCTGAAAGGCGGCACTTCCGCCCTCACGCAAACCAGGTTTTCTGACAGCCGAGGGTGGCCGCGCCTTTCACTGCTAGCCAATCAGAATCAGCCTGAGGACGGGCCCTGCGGGGGCCGACGCTGATTGGTTCGCGCTGGTAGCTTTCAGCTCTGTCCGGAGTTCGGCGGCCTGGTGTGCACCTGTTCTTTCCGCCAAAAGAGGGTGCCCTAAGCTGCGTTTGATTTCCAAGGACTTCTTGAGATACGGGCAACTGCAGCCCCAACTGCAGAAATTCTGGATTAAAAACTCTGGCTGGAAACATAGAGCTCCATAAATAAGGATTCAGTAGCAAGAGCAGGAGGCCCCGAATTCAAGCCCTCGTATCGATTCACACAATCAATAAATACAATTTGGGGTGGACTTTTGTGATCGAAAGCCTGTGAGCCAAACCATGCACTGGGAGGCTCAATCCTGTAATCCCAGTTACTCAGAAGGCTGAGATCTGAGGATCGAGGTTCAAAGCCAGCTCGGGCAGGAAAGTCTATGATACTCTTATCTCCAATTAACCACCAGATACCCAAAAGTGAAGCTGTGGCTCAAAGTGGTGGGGTGCTAGCTTTGAGCAAAAAAGCTTAGAGACATCACCCAGGCTCTGAGTTCAAGCCCCTTGCCCTACAACACACACACACACACATATCCCTGTTAGCCAGGCTCTGGTGGCTCACATCTGTCATCCTAACTATTCAGGAGACTGAGATCTGAGAATTGCAGTTGGAAGTCAGCCAGAGCAGGGAAAGTGTGAGATTCTTTTTTTTTTTGGTCCGGTCATGGGGCCTGAACTCTGGGCCTGGGCGCTGTCCCTCAGCTCTTCAGCTCAAGGCTAGCGCTCTACCATTTGAGCCACAGCGCCACTTCCGGTTTTTTTTCTTTTTGCTTATGTGGTGCTGAGGAATCGAACCCAGGGCCTCAGGCATGCAAGGCAAGCGCTCTACCACTGAGCCACCTTCCCAGCCCGTGTGAGATTCTTATCTCCAATAAATCATTAACAAGCAAGAAGTAGAGCTGTCACTCAAGAGCACCAGCCTTAAGTGAAAAACAGCTCCCAGGTCCTCAGTTCCAGTTTTACACACACACACACACAGCCTCAATGAATGCTTAGTGAATCTGAAACTATTTTCACTCAAGCCAGAAGGAGGAGCACTTTTTTTTTGAGGGCCTTTTCAGGATCCTTCTTTTGCATGAGTCATTGATATGACTGGTGTCCACACATTTGCCACACTCCTTTTCTTGCTATATAAGCAAACTTTTCATCTTTGTGAACCATTTGCAAGTACCCTTTATGCTGCCACCTGGTGTTGCAGGATTGAGCCCCATAAGTGGCTTCCTGGAGTGTCATTTCTTGCCTACCTCTGATCTTCATCATTTAAACCACATGGAGCTGGGCACCAGTGGCTCATGCCTGTAATCTTAGCTACTCACGAGGCTGAGATCTGAGGATCATGGTTCAAAGCCAGCCTGGGCAGGAAAGTCTGTGAGACTCTTATCTCCAATTAATCACCAGAAACCACAAGTGGTTAAACATTCTTTTTTTTTTGGGGGGGGGAGTCCAGTTGTGGGGCCTGAACTCTGGGCCTGGGCACTGTCCCTCAGCTCTTCAGCTCAAGGCTAGCACTCTACCACTTGAGCCACAGCAACACTTCCGGCTTTTTTTTTCCTGCTTATGTGGTGCTGAGGCATCAAACCCAGGGCCTCAAGCATGCAAGACAAACGCTCTACCACTGAGCCACCTTTCCAGCCCATGTGATTAAAGATTCTATGTGACTAGAATAGAGTTTAAGCAGACAGACTAGCACAATGAACAAATGACTAGAGAGATTTTGTGAGCCAAAATGTCCAGCTGAGACTGCATTCTAAGGATGACAAGAATTATTCAGCAGAGGAATGGTATGACCTGATTCACAATTTCATCCAGATCAAAGTTGTGTCTGTGGCTCAAGTGGTAGAATGCTCACCTTAAGCTGAAGAGCTGGGGGACAGTGCCCAGGCCTAGAGTTCAAGACCCATAACCAAAAAAAAAAAACAAATAAAAAAATAAAAATAAAAATCACATGGAGCTGGTAACTGGAAGGAAGCAGAGGAAGGTGGAAGTATAGTCAGTAGCAACAGAAACATCCACAGCTCCTCCTGGCATTGGCAGTAGTAATGTTGACAGGTCCAGCAGTGCTAGTAGCAGTAGCACTGAGAGGCAGTTGAAGAGTTCCAGAGAGGGCAGGGGACCAGTGGCCCATATCTGTAATCTTAGCTACTCAGAAGGCTGAGATCTGAGTATTGTGGTTTGAAGCCACCTCCAGCAGGAGAATCCATGAGACTCTCATCTCCATGCCAGAAGTAGAGGTATGGTTCAAGTAGTAGAACACCAGCTGTTAAAAATGAATTCTATCCCAAGAAAGAGAGAAGACACATTTTGAGAGGTTGGATCAGGAGTCTATTAGAAAGCCAGAATCTGTGAGCAGACACATGTCCCCCCCCCCCAAAAAAAAAAAAAAACTTGCTGCCTTGAATGCACTCAATACTGTTAGGAACTGAGCCATGAGGGTAGAAACACAATCTCAACAAATCAGATCAATTCTAATGGAGAGTTGAAGAGGGACCCCATGGCTAGGCAGATCTGGGAACCTATTGTCCAAGTCCCTGTTTATCTATTTCTAGGAATTCAGGCATGCCTGTCACCTGAGAGTGGGGGGTGGGAATTCACCTCTAAGAGTTTTCAGAAATTCTTCATCATCTGCCAAGATGGCACCAGTAATTAGACCCAAAATCCATATTTCACATCCTTGTGCAAAAAAGTGAAGGGACAATGCCCAGGCCTTGAGTTCAAACTCCAGCAATGGCACTCTCTCTCTCTCTCTCTCTCACACACACACACACACACACAAGTTCCAGGCAAACTGGGTACCAGTAGTTCACACCTGAAATCCTAGCTACTCAGGAGACTGAGATCTGAGGATCATGGTTCAAAGCCTGCCTGGGCAGAAAAGTTCCTATGAGGCTATCTACAATTAACCACTTACAAACCTGTAGTGAGGCTATGGTTCAAAGTGGTAGAGCACTAGCCTTCAGCAAAAAGAGCTCAGGTGACCAGGCCCTGAGTTCAAGCCCTATAACTAACAAATCAACACAACAACAACAAAGCCTCCAATCTGTGTTCCTAGAGCTATAAATTGTGGTTTGAACCTAAGACTTTCCCCTTGCCAAGCAAGTGCTCTACTACTTGAACAATGCTTTATCCCTAATTCTCTGGTTACTGAAGCCTGGAGTGGTCAGGGCCCTAGATTTGAACTTGGATCTGTAAGCTAGGTCTGTCAATCCTGAACCTAGACTTTGGGTACTCAAGGGCCCAGTATTTCCAGTGCTGGAAGAATCCTTGCCTACCCCAAATTCCCATCCAGGTAGAGCAAAAGGATCTCTGTCAACTGAATGGTAATAGTATCTCTTGATGCTATTTTTTTTGCCAGTCCTGGGGCTTGAACTTGGCCTAGGCATTGTCTCTAAGCATCTTTTGTTCAAGGCTAGTGCTCAACCACTTGAACTACAACTCCACTTCCAGCTTTTTTAGTATTTAGTAGTTTATTGGAGATAAGATAAGGGCCTCAGGGCCCTGGGTTAGATTCCTCAGCACCACATAAGAAAAAAGAAAAAAGCCGGAAGTGGCACTGTGGCTCAAGTGGTAGAGTGCTAGCCTTGAGCTGAAGAGCTGAGGGACAGCACCCAGGCCCAGAGTTCAGGCCCCACCACCGGACCCCCCCCCAAAAAAAAAAAAAAAAAGAGAATCTCATGGTGCCTGGCTCCAGTGGCTCACCCTGTAATCCTAGCTACTCAGGAGGCTGAGATTGGAGGATCATGGTTTAAGGCCAGCCCAGGCAGGAAAGTCCATGAAACTCTTATTGACAATCAACTGTCAGAAGACTGGAAGTGATGCTGTGGCTCAAAGTGGTAGAGCACTAGCCTTGAGCAAAAGAGCTCAGAGACAGCACCCAAGCTCCACAACTGACCAAAAACAAAACAAAAAAAGGAATCTCATGGATTTTCCTGCCTGGGCTGGCTTTGAGTTGTATGCTGGCCTAGAACTGCTTTCCTCAGACTTTGAATCCTTGAGTGGCTAGGATTACAGATGTGAGCCACCAGAGCCTGGCTCCTCCTGATGCTATTGTAGAGACCTGGGTAAGGGAATATAGGTGAGAAGAGGGGCTGACCACATGACCTGCATCTCCCCTGGGTATTCCCATCACTCTGGACTTCCTTGACTTCAGAGAAGGCAGTCCTAGAAATAAGTGCTTATATCTTCCAGTATGGAACTTGGATACTTTTTTTTTTTTTTGGTCGGTCATGGGGCTTGAACTCTGGGCTTGGGCTCTGTCCCTCAGCTCTTCAACTCAAGGGGAGTGCTCTACTGCTTGAGCTACAGCACCACTTCCAATTTTCTAGTGTTTTATTGGACATAAGAGTCTCATGGACTTTCCTGCCCGGACTAGCTTTAAACTGACATCCTGAGATCTCAGCCTCCTGAGTAGCTAGGATTACAGGCATGAGCCACTGGTGCCTGGCTGAACTTTGATACTTTTGATATCAAGACCTGCCTGAAGCCAGCAGGAAAGTGAGTGTCTTTAATACCTTCTCTCTTCCTACTGCCCCATTGGACCTAGAGAAATATTCATCTGTTGATTGACAGTTCTTGCAGGGGTAGAGTTTAGATGATTAAGCCAGGAGCTAAATCACAGCTTAAAATATAAACAAGCCACCCTTTGGCCTTCTACATAGTTTGTCTTTTTTATTTCCCAATGGGCTGCACCCAATCTTGTGGTATCAGGTTGTTGTTAGTTTGGTTCCTGATGGGGTGGCTCTTCTGGACATCCCAACTCCACCCCTTCCCTCCAAGAGTACAGTCAGTTCCAGTCCAGGCTCCACCTCCCTACAACTTGGGACTCAGAAAGTGTGAACTC